GCTGACTCCATCGTTGCGGGTGATCCTTGGTGTCACAAATCCTGGGTGTCTTCACTGTTCTTGGACGTCCCCTTTTTGGCATCTCTGAGGCTTGCCTTTGATTCCTGAGAGCAGCGGCAACATTCCGCACGGTTGGAGGGGGAACACCGAGTCGTTTCGCAATGTCGCAGCTCCTGAAATCTTCTCTGAGCAGCTTCTCGATAGTGGGTCAATGGGCATGAACTTCCATAGTGATTGTTCGGACGAACGGTCAATCGAATGACTTATATGGATTCTTGTACAGATTCCAAACTTTCTAAAAGTCCCGAAAGATTTTGAAAATACACATTGGCATGGTGCCAGCAAGCGCCAAACGGCGCGTCGTATACTTTTCAGCCACCCTGTATAGGCGCCCTTCATTGCAATATTTAAAGCCCCTGAGCTGAGATTGACAATGGAATCTACATGCACACTATGCGCATGTAGATTCCATTGTCATTCTCGGCTCGGAGCTTCAAATAGCGATTGCACATAATGTTTGCTTACATTATGTGCAACTGCTAGAAAGAGATAGGTGCTGAAAAGGTACTGAAGCATTACACATTAGCGAGAGAAATACCTAGCCTAACAGTCGGAACAAGTGCATGGCCTCAATAAGTGAAAGCTTAATGTTCGTCCCTTCCTGTTGGCCCCGAGATGTTCTCAACTCTTATCTAGCGGTTATCAATGGTGTTTCGTTGGCCCTTGTTGTTCAAGTGACGTGAGAATAGCAGCATAGTCCGGAGAGCACAAGTACGGCTTCAAGTCGCGTCCGAGGCCCGAAGTTTTGTCTATTACTCGCCAACCTTGTGAGACTTTCGTATCTCGTAGAGCGGCAAGATAACCGCACAGAACAAAACATCAAGTCAAAACATGTTAAGTTCCTATTTCCGCCTTACCATCTCTTGCGTTTGTAAAACCACTGCGCACCAATCACGCAAACAGTAGCCCAGAGAGCCACTGATTACCAAATGATGACTCACGCGATGTTTTCGGTACAGCAACTGCAGGATCTGTTCCCACTTGACCGGACTCGTTATTTGTTTTACGATTGCCGTGCGGATTTCAGACTGAAAAAGAAATAGCGTCTGGATATTCAGGGTATTTTCCGAAGAGAACTTCATTGATCTTAGCATAAGTCTACAAGGAAAAATCAGACTAATAAAAGCTCCAAAAACTGATTAATCGCATCACGAACAATGCCGTAATGCTCAGAGATGTGACGCCTTGTTCGAGTTTTTTTTTTCAGAGAGAACATGATCTTTTTTGTAAGGTTATAACGATTACTCCATTGCATTCCTTTAATCCACGGAATGAAAAAAATGGAAAGCAAAAGCAAGTGGAAACCGTTGCCTAAAATCTCCTCCTCAGCAACATCATTCAACAAAGTGTTGAGGTTTGTCACGATGAGCCGAGAGGAAATTCGTCAAATCAAGAACCAAGTCCCTTAAACATGGGCTTTGTGTTGGATTCTTGTTCTTCAGACAACCTACAAGTCTATATGGGGCTTACGATGTGACAAAGCTTTGCAAATGACGTAACACATTTTTGAAAGTAACAATGCAGAAATCTATCTAGTATGAAGGCGGACGTAAAGAAGGACAGAGCACACGAAAATGCTGAAAACTGTATGTCGCAGAGTCATGCAAAGAAATTTTTTGATGTTTTTTGATGTTCTAGCCTTACCCTGTTGACATGCGATCGTCTCGATACAATCTCTACGGTTTCTTTTTAATGAGTATCTGAGAACGTTGAGGCACTTCATCGTGTTTCTTACTTCCGAAATATGGTGTACGCACATGACGACTTACTTGAGTTGCTCTCCTGTATTAGGGAAGGATAAGCAGGCTACTGTCGCAGGACTTAAGTCGACTACCCTAGACAACAATCAGTCCTTAGCAGCCTCTCCTTAGATGGCCTATCTTTTTCACAGATTTTCAAACTTTTTCTTCTACTCAAAACCCACTGTAATGGAGTGGAGTCAAGTAACTAAGGGATGCGGCGGCATCACATGGTTCATGTGATACTCAATATCGTCAGCTGCCAAAGCTACTTCCGCACACAATATAATAATTACATATCGTCCTGAGCATATCAGTAAAGAAACCCATGTCACCGTGAACATCGAACTTATTTTCTATACTATGCTATTTTCTACCCTACTTTCTATACTGTGATCGTCTTATTCAGCACTTTATAGTAGTCCAATGACATGTTATTCAGCTAAGATCTTCTTCTCCAACCTAACGTGGCTGTTCCTCGCGGGGTAGAGGGAAAGTAATGCTTAGAACAATGAGGAAGACAGGCCGATTTTTCATCTTATTTGATTGTTTTTCGGGTTGAAAATTTGTTCTGGAAGGAAGCGGAATGCGTGAGAGTACTACAAATGGACTGACAACCTCAGTACGCCTTATCGTTACAGTGATCCTTTTTTTCTGTTCTTGTACGAAACTTTGTCTGTAGCTCTGTAATTCTTAATCTTACCCTTCCTCAATAGTGGAGTAATGCGAGTTATGATAGTAGTAATGATTACGCCTTCATGTGAACTGGTTTACTAGAAACACTCGGGGTCGTATTTGATTAATGACTAACAAGGAATGCTTTTTGCGAAAAGCTCCCAATTGCTTGTTGCTTATCTTTCGGCGAAAGTGAATATTACTTCCAACGACAGAAAATCAGGTTCAGATTCACCTCGGCATTCTCTGGAAACCTCGATAAAAAGACTGTGCAGAGACACTATTCACTTGCACGCAATTTCATTTTCATGGGAAGGCAATTTGTTGACCAGATGGAGGTTCACCTTCGACCTTTTTATAGTGTTGGAACGACTGCCTTGAAAAATTAGCTAGCGGACCGTTCCTTGAAAAACTGGCTAGCGAACAAAAGTTGCGACGAAATGGATAACTTGATGAACGGCGTCAAGGCGTGAATCGCCTTCGATAATTCATCTCCTCCTTAGAAAACCGACTGCCTAGCAGACGGGAAATAATGCTTGACGTAGAACGGGGATACGTTAGGGGACAATTGAACATTTGTTTGCTCATTATTTAATTGTTTCTTTGAGCAAAATGTTTCGAAAAAATCCACAAAATTGTGCATCAACCTAATGTTATCAGTGGTAACGACTGTCGGTGAAACTAGGAAAGGAGCTGTCGAAGCGTTAATTCGAGTTGCGAGATCGGAGCTCGGAATCATTTTGCCTGTCTCAACGAGAAACTCGAGTCTCGCAATGGCGAGCGGTACGGACACCGACTCGCAAAGACCCGCTATCACCAGACCGAAGATATAAAAAAGTTCTTCGGCACAAATCACGAGAACGGTCACCTACTGACGGGCAGCAAGCAAACATGGAAGCGATGGCGAGAGTACTACGAAAACATGTCAACAGTTGAATTTGCTCATCCCGCCGTCCCCTGCGCACCGCCACTACATGGGCCCGTTCAGGAGGTAATTGAAGGAGACCGTTACGGCTATGAAGAAGATGAAATCATGCCAAGCTACTGGTCCTGACGAGTTAGCGGCAGACTTGTGGAAGTTAGAGTGCAGAAATCCTGCAGAGTGGTTCACGGAGTTCTTCAGTCAAATCGTTACAGAGTAGAAAGTGCGTGAGAGTTAGCAACAGAACACGACGATTCCCATCTGAATGAAGAAGGGCACTCCTGGGGACTGCACTTGCTACCGTCCAATTCGCTTGCTCTTACGCAGCACGAAAATCTGGGTGTGGTGCGATTCACGCGTCAATATAATGAGGTCATCAGACAAAACGGGCTAAAACATCATTCCTACCATCAACGGAAGAAATAAGAACTTATAAGTAGAATAGGTAAAGAAATGAACAACTATGCACGTTTACAGAAGGACTGCGTTTACTAGGATCAAAAAATTTGAAGGTATTCTTATTCTGAACGTTTGACAAGTAAACTGTTGACCTATGAGGTGAATTCTCGATCTCGAAGGGGCTTTTTTGCCATGGTAAAGAGATTTGCTCTATTTTTGGTGAAGCCGTGGACTACTGCAAATTTATTTGGTCCATCTCAACAGAAGGGTACTGAAACGATGCTGCGTGCGCGAAGAGTTCTAATGGGGTCACGCGTGAATCGCGCCCCCCCCCCCGAAAATCTCTAAGCAAACTGTAGACATTCGTATCCGTGAAATCGTCGAGCTGACCATCAACCTGTGTGATTTCGAGTCACGTTGCAGCACCATCGATGCCACATGCCACTCGCCTTCTACTAGAAACGCGCGAAAACCAATACTGGTACATCATGCCTTTCTAGACTTGGAGAACGCTTTCGACCGCTTTAATACGATATGCTTCACGATAGCATGGCGTTTTCGAAGACTTATCGAGTAGATACGCATCTTTCAATCTATTCCAAAGAACCGAGTACAAACGGTAGCGGGCACATCGAAGGACTTTCCCATCTCAGTCGGAGTACACCAAGGCTCTGCGTTTTCCCCCTACTACATATTTGTTGTTGGTGCAACAGGTGCAACCTGAGCTCAGGGCAAACCTCAACAAAACCGAGTACTCGATTGCCGTTCCGAGCGAGCCAGGCTATTAATATCAATGGCACTGAGTTCACGCGAACAACAACATTCAGGTACCTTGCTCGGCAGCCTGGTTTTTGGGATGAATTCTTAGGTGAATGATTGCGCGCGGTTAGAGTGACGCTCGATGACTGGCGTACTGTGCCATAGGAACACGTCGGAAGTTCTCAAATCCAAGATCTATAGAACCGGCATCCGGTCGATCGCGATTTACGGCACCGATTGCTACGTCTGACGTTATCAGGGAGCGATTCGATGTTGCGCCGATTGTCGATAAAATGCGCGAAGATAATCAGATGTCGGATGCTTCATAAAATGTAATGCTTTTGTCGTAAGGAAGGTCAGGAGCAGGCTAAAATTGAAAGCGAAACTCTAAATAGATGCATGCGCGTGATAAGGTCATAAGGAACCTGACAGTACTGCTATCGTCGTATAATCTTCTTGCGACTGCCCCTCTTCTTTCAGAGTAACGCCCTGCTGCTTCTATCAAAAGCGACTACTTCACTGTTTGGGGAAATTCCAGGTTGTAATCCTGCTATGTTAAGGTTCGCTCAATTTCCCATTTTTATCCCAGCATATGGGGATGTTTCAGGTGACCAATAACATAAGCNTAGGCATGTAAGGGTGACGTTTTAGGTGAAAGGAAATGATTCGAGTTTTGTGAGGGCAGAGTTTCTACATGAACATTTTTATAATCGTATTTACAGGACTTTTTTCTTGAGACCCAGGAATCCCTTTCATGTCCAATTTATCGTATTCTACGACACCTTTCATTTCTGGAGTGATTCCTCAAGTCCCTAAACCTTGCAGCATCACGTCGATTCCTTTGCATCTTTAATGCTTCATATATCAACACTATCTCGATGAATACGTTCTACCGTTTAGCGTTAGCAAAAAATAGTCGGAGAAAGAAGTTTTCGTGCTGACAACGAACACCACACCAGAGGGAACACAGAGTTGTGTAAATGTTTTTTGAATTCACCCGAAAGACGCCTGATAAGCCAGGGTCATGCCTCAGAGGAGAGATAATGTTCCTAAAATCAAGTGTGCAGATCATCGAAATAGACAAGTGATAGAAAGCGAGTGGGTGACCTACGCTAGAACAAGCAAAATGCAAGTCTATGGGCTACTATTTTCGAGGTTATACGTTTTTGCATATCTTTGAATGCGCATTGAACACCTGGCTTCTTGGTATGAGCAATGATGTTCTTACGTTCAGCTGCTTTTGTGGTGGTTAGGTGGAATGAAAACCTTCATAATCATTAAGAAAATGTCCACTTCTTCCTGCGAAGTTAGGTTGGGAAACATAGTTTTCTTCTACAGTCCCTGACCACGTTACTTACACTTAGATGGCCATCAGCAAAAAGAAAGGCATAACGGTGGAGAAGAGACTTATTTACTTCTCTGAGCCGATTGAGCATGTCCCTTGGAAATATCAAATCTAGACGGCATAAACGTGCGAAGAATTTGAGCGGGTGCAACACGATCAGGTGAAAAAGAATTACCTCGAACACCGGAAAGGTAAAGGTTAATTCAAACATAAAGTCCACCGTAGCGCAAAAACTTTGCCAATCCCGCCCCTGCCACAAAATCTGAACCACTTCCTCTCGCACATGAAGGGTCACCCTCAATTCTCTCCAAGCCCCCGTTAAAAAACGGTTACACCATGTTTGTGTTCGTTTTCGTTGAAGGGTAGTTCAAAACCGCTTTCATAATCCCGCTCATATGATCTCTCGGCAAATTAGAAATGTAGATTTGTTCAGATTAGCATTAGAAAGCACAACGGGCAGTCAAGGCGCTTTTCGAGTGGCCATCTCGATTTGGGAGCCTTCCAAGGTTAGCCAGGAGTACGTCTACACGGCCCTTGCCACATTTTTGGTGCCACCGGTGTGTATCTCTTGACGACTTTCCTCGGATTTATGTTGGAATTCGCTGTTCAGATCACAATTTGCAATCAGTATCAATCAAAACCAACGGCTCTCTCCGGCCCCGATCTATGTGTACGCAAATGCTGCCGCGAAATTTGGCAGCGTATACGGAAGAATGGAAGAATGGAAATAAAATAAATAAATGGAAGAATAGCTGTCCTTTACATGGAAATTTCATCACGTCGGCAGGCCCGAGATGTTCAAGAATAGTATGTGAGATGTCAAAAACACTTGTTTGGATGCCAGTTATTGTTTACTACATGCNGCATGTAGTAAACAATAACTGGCATCCAAACAAGTGTTTTTGACATCTCACATTTTGAAACGCCAAAATTAAATGTGCATTGGGGTCAATTTCGAAAAGAAGAAGTGAATGATAGAATGTGAAAACTGTGTCCTTCAGCACTATCTCAGTGATTTAACATTATTTTTCTCACCTTTTTTGCAGGGTATATATGACCGGTGTAGTTTGAATACACGTTACAATGAGCTTTCATTATTTCCAAAGCATTGACAGCATCACGCATCTTTTCTGCTGCTGGCTCCATCTGCCAAGTGTGGAATGCACCACTAACTTCTAATCGTTTCACGACCTGAAAGTATGCCTGTGATAGCACGTACGGGTTTGAGTCCTGTACAGGGCCGAATTTTGGCATAGAACTCGTCATACTCGCGAAATTTCCGAATGGCGCCTTGTAAACAGTAGTTGACAAAAAAAAAGAAAAAAAAAACTAAAGTTAGCAAAAAAACCGAATCAATACAAATTAAAAATATTTCTCTCGCTACAAAGCAATTCGTCAAGCATCAAGCATTTACTATTCAGTTACATGTGAAGATGACATGGGCACACTGACTGGTATAAAGGTTTGAAGCCGTAGAAATATCGTCCATTTAAGCTGGGAACGGCTTGTAAAATTAAATTCCTACAGATCTCATGCGTCTCAACTCGAAGACAAAAAATTGACAAAGCACCTTCCGCATGTTAGAGGTGTTCAAGTACTGACAATGAGTCATATTCTCTTGAAGTGCATGCTTCAGTTGGGTTGGTCAATTTTTAAAGATATTTTGCTTTGTTGCTCTTAACACTTTACGGCTCAACATAAAATAGTTAATAGTCATCGTCAGGGACGTTAGACCCTTGGGCTTCCTAGCAATGGAGTCGAAATTGCACATAGGCGCTTGCAATCGATTAACAAAAGTTGAAGACCCATCGATTCAAAGAGAGGTGATAGCAACGAAATTTTCTGATTACTTTGTAAACATTGGCTGCTTTCATAGTCCGCCGCCGTGCCAGCGTGCCAGCTGAGCTAGGCTAGGGGGGATGAGGAAAACAGACGGTCGGTCGACGCGCTCACGTCGCGCCCAAGCCCCTTCGAAGGGCTGAAAACAAGAAAGAAAAATTAAAAACCACGTGCATAAGCCTCTGGTTGCTTGGTTTTTCATCTTGTTTTTCTTGTTTTCAGCCCTTCGAAAGGGCTTGGGCGCGACGCAACCGCGTCGACCGACCGTCTGCCTCCCTTCTCCCCACTACTTCGACTGGCACTCCGGCACGCCGGCGGACTATAAAAACAACCATTGGGATGTATGCATACCACTTGGGTTAGGCACACCAACGCGTGCATCGCATACCACAACCACCTGTCCACGATCATAGTCGAGACGTGAATAGGGACGTTTTTATGCTATATATACATTACAGCTTCACGCAGGATTAGTTTGAGCTTCATTTCTGCAACCACGCATTAGAGTGAAGAGCTCAAAGGCAAAGGATTCCTTTGAGTGCGTACTCATAATGAATATTTGCATTTCAAATTTTGCTTGAATTTAACTATAGGAAATTGTGCACCAGAGATGAAATGACAACAGTTAGCAGGGGGATTACCTGATGCCTGATATCGATTGATTCCGATGCAGAGGCTTATCTACCCGCCCTCCTCTCTTTTCTTATGGTCTTTCTGTGATTGAGAAGAACTATAATGTACATCCTGCAACAAGAAGGTGGAAGTCGCAGTCCAGTCAATGTCACAAATTGATGCGTATTAGTTTGAGATTCGATAAACAGTTCATAAGACCCCCTATTTCACAACACCTTCCACCACCGCATCGTGGCATTTCATGTTATTAATCGCACCTACAAGATTTTTTTGCGGGCTGACAACAAAACATCATACAAGCAGACACACGAAATCAGCGTTTCATATGCAGGTACGCCATAAATATGATAACAGAACAAATGCACTACAGAAACAGAAATTCGTATTGATACATGGTGAATTTATGTGGACTATCTATTTACTAAGCATCGCATTAAGGACGAGTACGGTCATTCGATATAACCGCCTCCAGTGCTACTTACAGCCCGGAAACCCTTCGTGTTCTCATCGACGGTGGCATGCAGGGTCCCATGAGGGATATCAGCCCGCACTTTCATTAACGATTTTTGAGATACAGCAACTGTGACGTGTTTCAAAGAGCAAGCTTCCCTCCTGGTCCTACCATAACCAACAGTTCACTGTGTTGCGGTCACGGGATTTAGGAGGCCAATCGAAAGCAGTGATAAAATTGCGAACATTTCTTCAGTACCACTCCTGAACTTTTACATTTGTGAACAGATGCATCGGAGATTCCAAATCGTTGAATTGAGCATATGTTCAACTCTCAGGGTGTCTTCTCAAAAATACGCCCGACGAAAATCTTCTGATTTATTTCTATACCACGCCTAACGAAAATCTTCTGATTTATTTCTATACCAGTCGGGCCGCCCGGCTAACGCCGGGCTTCCCTCCTTCTTAT